GGCGGGACTGAGTCCAGGTGCGGAGAGGGCGGGGTCGGGCCACAGTCGCGTCCCTCTCGTGCAGTTCACCACCACCGTGGTCTCCTGCCGTCCCGCTGAGCTGCAGACCGAAGGGAGCCCCGGCCAGAAAGAAGTGCTGCGCGGGTTCCACGTGGTGCTGGAAGACACGCTGCTTTTCCCCGAGGGCGGGGGACAGGTACCTAGTCGATCCCTCCCGGGAACCCCAGATGCCTTCGTGCCTAGGCGGGACCTGCTCTCCCGCCCCGTCCTTCTCAGCCGTAGCGAAGTCAGATGGACGTTAGCGCAATTCGTGTTCTTACTCACTTAATTTTTTTTTTTGAGTTGGAGTCTCACTCTGTCGCCCAGGCTGGAGGGCTGTAGCACGCCTCTGGCCACCGCAGCCTTGACCTGATGGGCTCAGGCGATTCTCCCGCCTCAGCCTTCGGAGTAGGGGAATTACAGGCATGCGCTACCACGCCCGGCTGATTTTTTGATTTATTGTGGAGATGAGGTCTCGCTGCCCAGGCGGGTCTCGAACCCGCGGGCTCAGGCAATCCGCTCACCTCAGCCTCCCAAAGGCGCGGGATTTCAGGCTGAGCCACCGATCCCGGCTCCGCCCCAGCCTTTCAATAGCTGGAACTACAGGCATGTGCCACCACACTCATTTAATATTTATCAGCGGATGCTGGTCTAGATGTAACCTATGCTGGGAGTTATTCTGGGCACTAAGGATAAAGAACAAGATGTGTCTCTATAGATGTGTTTACTGGAGAAAACTGCGTGTGGCACACATGATAAGTGGTAAAACTGAGTCAAGGGAAGACAATGATGGGATGCTTGTCTAGATGGGGTAAGTTATTTCTGTAGAGACCTAAATGGAGGTGAAGAGGGAACCATTGCAAATTTTTTTTTCTTTTGAGTTGGAGTCTCACTCTGTCAACCTGCTGGACACTGGCGATCCTTCCTCCTCAGCCTTCCAAGTAGCCGGAACTACAGGCGTGTGCTACCACTCCTGTCTAATTTTTGGTGTATTGCAGAGACGAGGTCTCACCAAGTTGCCCCAGGCTGGTCTCAAACCCCTGGGCTCAGACAGTTCATTTGCCTTGGCCTCCCAAAGTACTGGGAATACAGGCTGAGCTACTGAGCCCGGCCACCATTGCAGTTTTTTAGCAGTCCTGGTGGAGGGGAAAGTAGTCCACGCAGAGAGAATGGCAAGTGCAAAGGCTCTGATGTAGGAATTATCTTAGGATGCGTGACAGGGACTGAAAAAATGTTCCTGGAGGAGTTCAGATGACATAGAAGGCACAACAGAGAGCAGACTTGTTGGTGCTGTAATGAACTGGAGACTGACAGTGTGCACAGAGGAGAGGAGAAGGATGATACCAAAAGTGGGCGTTATGGGAAAAACTCTTCTAGCAGAGGTAATAGCACAAAGTCAGGGAACTCTGAAAGACTCTAACAAGCCTAGTTAACTGTAAATAGTCCAGTATTGTTGGATTTTGTGGTGCATGTTGATGACAGGCTAGAAAGGTCATTGGGGGCCAGTTCAGGAGACTTTGAAGGATGTGTTAAGTAAGGTGTATGGTCTTCATTCAGGAAAGTGTGGCAAACTATACAGGTTCTTAAGCAAAGAAGTGACGTGAAAGAACGTGCTTGGTAGGCTTGCTAGTGAGGAAGTTCCAATTTCATATCAGTGACATCGTTGTTACAGTGGTTTTCCTACCATGGAAGTTTCCTGATCTGCTGAGGAAAACCTGTGACCTCATGTATCCATAGAAGTTCTCATTTGAGACATCACTTTGAGGAAGACTCCCTGAGACTCTTAGGTCTCTTCCTCTTGAGGTTCTGTAGCACCATATACATTTTTGTATTGTGATATGGTATAGATCATATTGCATTTCCCTGTTTTCCTGTCTGTGTTTTTCTCCAGACTCTTTTTTTTTTTGAGTTGAAGTCTCACTCTGTCGCCCAGAATGGAGTGCAGTGGCACACTCCAGCCACCGCAGCCTCGACCTGTTGGGCTCTGGCGATCCTTCTGCTCAGCCTTCCAAGTAGCTGAAACTACAGGTGCGCACTACCACGCCCGGCTAATTTTTTGATTTATTGTAGAGGTGAGGTCTCGCCAAGTTGCCCAGGCAGATCTCGAACCCGTGGGCTCAGGCAATCCACTCACCTCGGCCTCCCAAAGCATGGGATTACAGGCTGAGCCACTGAGCCCAGCTATTCTCCAGACTCTTTAATTCTGTGACGGATTGTGTCTTATCTACTTTGTGTTCTTGGGCTGGCACAGTGTCTTATAAGAAGGTAGCACTTGATACGTTTTCAAATAAAGGAATATTTTTTTAGTCTAATGCTAGTAGCAGTGCAGAGGGAGAGAAGAAAATCCAGATCATTTTAGACTGTTAAAGATAAGAATCGCCAGGCTCGGTGGCTCAGCCTGTAATCCTGCGCCTTTGGGAGGCTGAGGTGAGTGGATT